TAGAGTTCTATGAGCTGGTAGATTCAGCATTTAGAAATGGAATTATTCAGAAAAATCTATGGGAATACATTAGAATTGCGCACCCTAGGATGCCAACTTTTTACGCACTTCCCAAATTCACAAAGATATGAACAATCTTCCAGGAAGGCCTATTTATTTCAGGCAATGGCTGTAGTTCTGAAGGTATCAACCAAGTCATAGATCATTATCTTAGACCCCATGTTGTAAGTTTAGCATCTTATGTTAAGGATTCCATCCATCTTTTAAAAATGATTGAAAATCTTGATGTACCTCAATCTGCCACTTAGTAAAAGTTGATGAGGCATCCCTTTATAATTAAATCCCATATAACAAAGGAGTTGCTGCAGTCAAATAAGTTCTGCAGCAACGTGGAATGTCCGAATGGGGATTCAATGAATTAATCTGACTATGCTTGATTTTATTTTGTATCATAATTTTCTTTGTTTCAAGGCTCCCATTACCTCCAGGTACAGGGCGTGGCCATGGGGACCTTTTGCACTCCTTCCTACGCCAATCTGTACCTGGGGGTATGGGAGCAGGACTTCTTGTCCAATTGATCTCTTTCTAGATATATACAACATATTATCATCTTGCAAAGATATATAGATGATATATTTCTTGTTTGGGATGGCCCTGAAGTGTTGTTGAAACAGTGTATTGAGGTGATGAATCAAAATGATTCAAACCTTTTCTTTACTATGACCTATGGTAAAGAGAAAAAATCAATTTTTTGGAGATCAATATCTACAAAGGACTATGTGGACATTTAGATAGTAGTCTTTTTAGGAAGGAAACTGCTGAAAATACCATTCTTCATGCCAGCAGCTTCCATCCAGAACCTTTGTAGAGATATATTCCATACAGTCAATTTCTGTATATTAAACGTAATTGTACAGATGATCATATATTTCAGAAGGAGGCAGATGAGCTTACAAACATATTATTAACACGAGGATACACAAAATCAGGTCTCAGAAAGGCCTTTAATCGTGTAAAAATTTGGATAGACATGATCTTTTATTTCAGACACCCACAAGAGATTCCTTAAAACATTGACTTTATGGATCCAACACGCCCATCCCGAGTTACCAATAGACAGCTTCATTATAACCTCATAGACCCTATAAACTGGACCTAAGGGCTTTTAACATTGTTTTTCCGATCCTTCCTTGTTCTCCTCTCTCCCTCTCTTTTCACAATTTTTGTTTTCTGGCTCTTCTGCAGGGATGTTCTAGGATTCATGAGATGCTCTGTACATCTCACGACTTGACTACATACTTGTGCATTTTAAATGACACAACCCTTTTATTGTCTGCTAATAGGCTTCACGCATGTGGCCCTTTCTTTGTTTGCTATGCTGATTTACCAGCGCAAGATGGTTGATATTTATGTTCTCTTGACATGGCACTTATAATTTAATTTACTACAGTTATGCGTTGTTTGTGTATGACCGCTTTTGATAGTTACCTTTTATTGTAATTTTTCGGTTCATTCATAGGACAGTGGCCGAGTTTGTATTTTCTAACATTAAAATTATTTAAAGGAAAGATCACCTTCCCTGGGAAAAAGGTAGTCCAGGGCTTTCTTAAAATCTAACTTGTTGTCAGTTTTATTTAAAAGGTTGCAAGTATCATAAACCCTCGCCATCCAGGCACTAACTAAACACAGGAGATTCCAATCTCTCCCTGTCACCAACAAAATCAAAATGATATGCAAACCTTTTCCTTTCTTGTACAACACACACTTTCATCCACAGCTCACTCAGATATGGCTCTCTGAGTCCCAGGCCAAGAGTAACTTCCTGCTCCAGTCCTGCTTGATTTATACAACCTGCTGGTGGTCATTACTGGACCACAAAATCTGGTCTGGAACCACCTCTGCCATAGATAGTGGCCTGGAAAAAACCGGACTGGAATCCCTCTTAATCTCCCAGATATGAACACATGCGAGGTGACACACAGCATCCATCGATCACCTTGCCTTTCATAATGTCACTATATATATATATATATATATATATATATATATACACACATACACTGATATGGACTGGGTAATGTGTGTTAGGAACATAAGGATGTCCCATCGTTTGATGGAAATTAAAATTATCTACCTACAGAGGACAGAATTCAAAGACACCCTGAAAATAAAAGTGAAAAAATTATACAGCAGGCTAGTCCATTTTGCTGAGATTTGAAGCAACTCAAAATGGTACTCAATGTCGGGGCATGCTCCTAATGAGACGATGGATGATGTCCTGGGGTATTTCCTCCCAAATCTAGATCAGGGCATCACTGAGCTCCTGGACAGCCTGAGGTGCAACCTAGTGGCGTTGGATGGATCGAAACATGATACTCCAAAGATGTTCTATTGGATTTAGGGCAGTCGAGCGTGGGGGCCATTCATTGGTATCAATTCCATCATCCTTCAGGAACTGCCTCCATACTCTCGCCATGTGAAGCCGTGCATTGTCGTGCACCAGGAGGAACAGGGAACCCACTGCACCAGCGTAGGGTCTGACAAAGGGTCCAAGGACTTCATCCTGATACCTAATAGCAGCCAGGGTGCCTTTGTCTAGCCTGTAGAGGTCTGTGCATCCCTCCATGGATATGCCTCCACAGACCATCACTGACCCACCACCAAAACGGTCATGCTGAACGATGTTACAGGCAGCATAACGTTCTCCACGGCTTCTCTACACCCCTTTTCATGTCTGGTACATGTGAGTTTGCTCATATGTGAAAAGCACAGGGTGCCAGTTGCGAACCTGCCAATTCTGGTGTTGAATGACAAATGCCAATCGAGCTCTATGGTGCCGGTCAGTGGGCACAGGGCCTACTATAGGATGTCGGGCCCTCAGACCACCCTCATGAAGTCTGTTTCTGATTGTTTGGTAAGAGACATTCACATTAGTGACCTGCTGGAGGTCATTTTGTAGGGCTCAGACAGTGCTCATCCTGTTCCTCCTTACACAAAGGAGCAGATACTGGTCCTGCTGATGGGTTAGGGACATTCTACGGCCCTGTCCAGCTCTCCTAGAGTAACTGTGTGTCTCCAGGAATCTCCTCCATGCCCTGAGACTGTGCTGGGAGACACAGCAAACCTTCTGGCAATGGCATGTATTGATGTACCATCCTGGAGGAGTTGGACTGTCTGTTCCACCTCTGTAGAGTCCAGGTATCGCCTCATGCTGCCAGTAGTGACACTGAAACTAGCTAAATGTAAAACTAGTGAAAAACAGTCAGAAAAGATGAGTAGAGAAAAAAAGTCAGTTGTCTCCACCTGTAAAACCATTCCTGTGTTGGGGTTCGTCTCATTGTTGCCCATCTAGTGCACCTGTTGTTAATTTCATTAACACCAAAGCAGCTGAAACTGATTAACAATTCCCTCTGCTACTTAGCTGACCAGATCAATATCCCAGGAGTTTAATTGACTTGATGCTAAACTCTGATTAAAAAGGGCTCCTTTAATTTTGTTTATTATATATATGGATTTCCTTTACTGTCTGAAATGGAAGGATGTTACATGGCACAAAAGGCATCCCTGTATCTCTATATTATCACTATAATTTGATAATAAATTTTTCCAACCTACCTGAAAAACCATTATATAGACCCCAATCTCCTATGAGTTAACCTAGGCAACAGACATTACAATAAAAATCAAGTCAAACCATATTTTAGTTTTGGAAAAAGCAAGAAACGGATGGTGTGTGTCACCATTGGGAAGATTTTCCTTTAATTACTGTAGAGGGCAAGACATTCCCTCCAGCTGAGGTGCAAACTTCAGCAAAACAAATTTTCTTCAGTAAAATGGGGAAACAATTATTGTAATTGTATATGTCTCATAGTCTCAGCGACAATCCCTCTCTTCATTTTTTGTCCAGCTGTCATAGGGTCAGGAGTTGAGGTGAAATCTTACCAGCTGGATTATATTCAAAATTAAAATAAAACATTTGCAGGAGTGATGGGCTTTAAGCTTCGGTCACACAATCAGCAATTTTATGTATTTATATCTTTCTGTGTATGATCGTCTTCGGTAATAATACTGCATTGATATAGGCTTGAAATCACTTTTTAAAATAATGTACAGTCATGAAAAAAATAAGAAGTAGCCCATACTTTGTTTATATCATATAGAAATGAAAAAAGGTTTGAGGGATACTCATACAGCTGTACAAACCCATGAGGCTGTATCCTAATTCACTTCTGATTTAAAACTTACACTATATTGCCAAAATTATTAGGACGTCTGCCTTTACATGTACATGAACTTTATTGGTATCCCAGTCTTAGTCTGTAGGATTCAATATTGAGCTGGCCCAACCTTTGCAGCTATAACAGCTTCAACTCTTCTGGGAAGGCTGTCCACAAGGTTAAGGATTGTGTCTATGGGAATGTTTGATCATTCCTCCAGAAGTGCATTTGTGAAGTCAGGCACTGATGTCGGATGAGAAGGCCTGGCGCGCAGTCTCTGCTCGAATTCATCCCCAAGGTGTTCTATCGGGTTGAGGTCAGGACTTAAGCCACTCAATTTCTCCTCCCCAAACAAGCTCATCTTTATAGACTTTGCTTTGAGCACTGGTGCACAGTCATGTTGGAACAGAAAGTGCCATCCCCAAACTGTTCCCACAAAGTTGGGAGTATCAAATTGTTCAAAATGTCTTGGTATGCTGACATCTTAAGAGTTTCCTTCACTGGAATTAAGGGGCCAAGCCCAAACCCTGAGAAACAACCCAACACCATAAACCCCCCCCCCCCACCAAGCTTTACACTTGGCATAATGCTGTCCTGAAAGTACTGTTCTTCTGTCAACCACCAAACCCAGACACTTTCATTGGATTGTCAAACAGAGAAGCATGATTTATCACTCCAGAGAATACGTCTCCACTACTCTAGAGTCCAGTGGTGGCGTGCTTTACACCACTGCATTTGAAGCTTAGCATTGCACTTCATGATGTAAGGCTTGGATGCAGCTACTCAGCCATGGAAATACATTCCATGAAGCTCTCCATGCACTGTTGTTGTGCTAATCTGAAGGGCACACAAAGTTTGGAGGTCTTTAGCTATTGACTCTACAGACAGTTGTTGACTTCTGTGCACTGTGCGCTTCAGCATGTACTGACCCCGCTCTGTCATTTTACATGGCCTACCACTTGGTGGCTAAGTTGCTGATGTTCCCAGTTGCTTTCACTTTGTTATAATACCACTAACAGTTGACTGTGGAATATTTAGTAGCAAGGAAATTTCACAGATGGACTTATTGCACAGGTGGCAACCTATCACAGTACTACGCTTGAATTCACTGAGCTCCTGAGAGCGACCCATTTTTTCACAAATGTTTGTAGAAGCAGTCTGCATGCCTAGGTGATTGGAACACCTGAAAGCAATGATTTAGAGGGGTGGACCAATACTTTTTGCAATATAGCGTAAATGATGAATTTCTTTTCACTGTGCAGCAAGTGTTTCTGACAGCTCATAATCATAACCTACAGTGGCAAGTATCATTTGTTCTAAGCTCAGAAAATTAAATGTAAAAAAAAACACAGAGATGTGTCATTGGACAGACTTGAACATAACATTAAGACTGTAATTTTTGTAAAAATTGCTCACTTAAGGAGGTGGCAAACAACTATAATTCAAGCTTACCGTAAATAGGATGGTAACCTTCAGGAAAGAAAACAATTATTCTGAGTTTTCTATTTTCAGCCAGCAAATATAAATGACTGGTAGGACAAAGTTAGTGAAGTATATGTACTGTATGTATGTTTAAAATTCTGTTAGATAAGTAAACTGCCTGTTTAGATAAAATGTTTTGTTTTTGTTATTGACTGGTTTAACCCCCCCCCCCCCCCAAAAAAAAAATGGTTCACTTCCAGCAAAAAAAAAAACAGACATTTAATGTACACTTTTCTGTAACTGTGTTATGCCACTTCTCCATCCATTTATGATCACAGCAGTAAGCGCACTAAGCATAAAGGGAAAAATATATCATAATATACACAGTGTTATTATTATTTGTTCCCAGTAGCCTTTCAGATAGTTTGCTAGTTGTTCGCTGCAGATACCAGAGAGTGTATAAAAGGAATCTCTACACAAAATCACTTTGCCTTCAGCTACAGCATGGGAAAGGACTAATGCTAAACTGCCACATTCTGCTCAATCAACCGTGAGCATCAGACATGCCTTGTTCATCTGGGATCAGTACGCATCAAACTGGTAACAGAGAATATATAAACCTGCCAAATTATCTACTTGCTGACAGATTGATATAAGCAGAACTTTTGGTGCATGCTGGGCTACAAGGACATAATTTCTGACCTGTTGAATATGCCTGTTGTGAGGTTTTCCTATTACACATGCCATATGTATAGATTTTCTTTTATAATTTAGTATAGTTTTTGCATAATATATAAAAACTGTGTTGTCTGTGAATGTATGTTACATTTTTCAGCTTTTGTTTTTAAAACATGTACAGCATTAACTTGTATAAAATAAGTTTGTTTAGCATAGGTTTTCAAGTCTTGAATGATGTTTTTTTTTTCATTTATTGCACATATGTTAAAATGTACATTTTAGGCTTCAAAGTTACTTAAAACTCCCAAAATATTATATATTTTCTGTGAGCAGAGACCATGTAAAATAAAATTGTGGCAGTTGTAATTTATAAGCCACATCATATTTGTGTTACTGTTTGTCAAATCTATATTTTCAGTAAATAAATATGCTTAAATTATGGTCAACCATTTGTTAAAATATAATAGAAGAGGTTGCTTCAAGTAAAAAGTTACTAAATATGTCAAACATCAAAATTGCTTGTGCCATTGAAATGGCAAAAAAGGACAGTACCCAAAATTGTTCATATGTGATGCTCTAAAAGCCTTTACAGTTCATCAGTTTAGAGTTAACATTAAACTGCAATGTCCTAGATTGTAAGCCTTAATGAGCTGTGCCCTCTGATTCCTTTTGTATTTAATTGTATTGTAACTGTACTGTCTGAACTCATTCTGTAAAGTGCTGTGCAAACTGTTGGTGCTATATAAATCCTGTATAACAGTAATAATAATAATAATAATAATAATAAAAAAAAAATCTTCTAGCTGTTATAGCCAATGCAGTAGTTACATCACTGGCAGCAAAAGGGTTAACATTAAAGTCTATTTGAACTTTCAGTTTAATTTAGCTTAATATGATAGTTGTGCTTCAGAATAACTGATGTACAAAATCTTGCAGTTTATTTTCTACAGAAAGCTACCCAAGCCTGAATAGAAAAACCACCCCTGCCAGCATGCTGCAGAAAGGCACCCTTGGGCTACGTTCACACTAGCGTTGTGTGCAGGAGGCAGAGAGCGTTTTTACGCCTCGGACAATTCTGTACATTGCAGCACATGGTGCTGTTCTAACGGGAGCGTTAGCGTCATGTTGCGGCAAAACGGACACCTCTGGTCGAGTGAGGAGGCATTGAAGCCTCCTATTCTAGTCTATGGTGCCGCTCCGCAAACGCCCGGCCGGCATTTGCGGTGCGGTTGCGACGCGGTTGAGGAGCGTTTGTGGAGCGGTAAGGGCTTGTTCCACACTTGACTGTTTTACCAACGCTTGCCAAATGCCCCTATAGCGTTTGGCAAGCATTGGTCCGGCGTTTGCAGAGTGTTTTTTAACAATGTTTTAACGCTCGGCAAACAATCTGCAAACGCTGCATGCGCGGTTTAGCGGCGGTTGCTAGGCATTTGCCGAGCGTTAAAAATGCCACACAAACGCCTAGTATGAAGTTTGAATGGTGTAAGGCTACGTTCACACTAGCGTTGTGTGCAGGCGGCAGAGAGGCGTTTTGGGAAGCGTTTTTACCGCTTCCCAAATGCCTCGGACAATTCTGTACATTGCAGCACATGGTGCTGTTCTAACGGGAGCATCAGCGTCATGTTGCGGCAAAACGGACGCCTCTGGTCGAGTCAGGAGGCGTTGAAGCCTCCTATTCTAGTCTATGGTGCCACTCCGCAAATGACCGGCCGGCATTTGCGGTGCGGTTGCGGGGCGTTTGTGGAGCAGTAAGGGCTCGTTCACACTTGACTGTTTTACCAATGCTTGCCAAACGCCCCTATAGCGTTTGGCAAGCATTGGTCTGGCGTTTGCGGAGCGTTTTTTAATGCTCGCAAACGCTCCGCAAATGCCGCATGCGCAGTTTAGCGGCGGTTGCTAGTCGTTTGCCGAGCGTTAAAAACGCCCCACAAACGCCTAGAATGAAGTTTGAATAGTGTTACCGCTCCGCAAACGCCCCGCAACCGCGCTTGGCAAGCACTGGTAAAACAGTCAAGTGTGAACGAGCCCTTATCACTTCGCAAACGCCCCGCAACCATGTTGCAAACGCACTGCAAACGCCAGCCGGGCGTTTGCGGAGCAGCACCATAGACTAGAATAGGAGGCTTCAACGCCTCCTGACTGGACCAGAGGCGTCCGTTTTGCCGCGACGCTGACGCTCCCGTTAGAACAGCAACATGTGCTGCAATGTACAGAATTGTCCGAGGCGTTTGGGAAGCAGTAAAAACGCTTCCCAAATGCCTCTCTGCCGCCTGCACACAACGCTAGTGTGAACGTAGCCTTGCTATCTATGTGAAAGCAGTGATCTCTTTGAAGAGGTTCAACATATCCTCTGCTGAGTCTGATCTATAGCTCTGAAATCAAAAAATTGTATGCCCACTGCTGATTTGCAAGCTATAGCTATTACTTGCCAAGAAATTAAATATAAAAAAAAAACACTTTTGGTTGGTACTGACTCAACAAAGATATAGTTAAGGACTTTTTATAACTTTCAGGGGAAACAACTTTTACATTAAATGTTTTCACAATGCTATATCAAGAGGGAAAATGGATTATTGCTAAGAGAATACTGTTCCTGGGAGAATTAATATATTGTTATACTTTATTTAAAGTATTTATATAGTAATATCATAGACTTTCTTTTTTTACATCAGCATTGTAATAGTAATGCAAACAACAGTTATTGACAATCCAATACAGGCTTACTTGGAAAATCTCCTTCCTTATTTCCCTGCGTACTTTGCAGCTTTTCTTTCAATTTCTAAGGACTACATATCCCATGGTACCTTGCTGCCTGCAAACAGTGATTCCTGTACTGACTTTGCCTCCTGAAACTATTTCTCTGTGCACCTCCAGTAGTTCAGGCAACAGATTCTGTGAAATCTTTGTCAGGGAAGTACCTTCTCACTGAACATAATGAATTCGTGTCACAGAATTCAAGGGAATAAATATGTGATAGTAAGTTAACAAAACTCAAGATCATTCAAATTAATAGGAGTAGGCTAGGCATAATTGAAAAATAATGAGGAAATAAATATACAATTTTACATTTACTCCATAGATACACTTTAATTTTAGAGATGTTTCTTTTTGTAAAAAAAAAAACAAAAAACATCTTTGTGTTCCGCTTTTAACATTCATACAATTTATAACCCATCTGTTTTCAAAGTATACCAATAGAAAATTCAATGTCTGATTGCATCTTTCAGCTGGATAATAGATACTTGTAAAACAAAATGATACACATAAAAACACAGCACTTCTCCATTTGATGAAAAGAATTTAAACAGGAACATATGTGAAAATAAAGATAGATTTTTTTTTATATATATCTACTAAGATGCAGGATCAATGAGTAAAACATGCAAGCCATACATGCAAATCAACATTATGGCTACATAAATGCATGCAAAATACTAACATCTGCTTTTGTGTTTGGCAGGATGATGACTCTGCAGTACTTAAAGTGTATTGAAACCCAATAACAAAAAATGTATATATTGCATCTTACCAATCCTTATATGTGATGGCTGTATTAGTTTTCTTTTATAGCCTTTTTTCCTTTATTTCCACCTGGTGATTTGGTCAGTAACACATTTTCTGTCTTCAGGTGACTCCACTCAATGGAAGAGCAACTGAACCACCCATGGACAAGCAGAATTGTCATCATGTGAAGACAGCAGTGTTAGATGCACAATCAAATTTAGATGAACTTGACTAACACATTGATGCCAAGTTACAGCTACAATTTTTAAACAGTTACAGAAAGAGTTTTTTTTTCTTTTCCTTTGGAATGAAAGTCTTATACACATGAATAAAGGCTAAATGTTGCTGCAACTCTGTCAGTTTTAAATGGTTTGTCTCCATTCTCTAACTGACACCTTTGCTGGACAGCTTGGGCTGCTAAGAGAGTTGACAAATAACAGGTGAAAAATAAAAAAAAGAGTTAATTAAAGACCATGGGTGCACAAAATCACGTATATATATTTGACTTTGCAGTTTCGGGTAGATAATCCACCCCACCATTCACAGCCTCAGATATCAAT